AACAGAAAATGTTGAAATAAAAAAAAGGTTGAAATAATGGTAAGAGAATGAATGTTCTACTTAGTTTAGTAACTTGTTCTTCATAATAAGTGGCAAATTGACATTGCAAAGAATCTGAAATCTTATTACTATTTTAAAATAAAATTTAATACAAGAGAGAGCATTTAGTGGCTTATTTAAGCCCCCCTTTCCCTATTATTCTCTTATATAATCTTTTTTTTTATTTTACAATTTATGTTAATTGGCTTGTTGGTACTTTGACTTTATTTTTCATTATTTTAAGAAGCATTTTGTAAATTTAGTATTTCTTATGTAAGTCTTTCAGTATTAATTAGACTTTTTAAACATTCTGGCCTGAGAAACTACTAACTCTTATTTTAATCTATGATTTGAATTTTAAATTTTGTTACTCTAAATACAGAACACTTAAACCCCTTTGACAAGCATTGATGTCATTCTCATCTATATTTGATTATTTCTTTGTACTCTTAGAGATCTGAAAAAGGAAATAATTAAGAACATTGAAAACAGAGGGAAATGTTGGCACAAACCCCTTTACACTCTATTTAGAAAAAACTATGTAAAACAATGTTCTTTATAATTAAATGGTGAAATAAAACCCTGATGACATATCTTTGCAGCATTGATGGCCTGGTTAAGGTGGGCACACTGAAAAAACGACTGGATAAATTCAACGAAGTAGTAAGTGCACTGAAAGATGGAAAACCACAGGTGAATAAACAGATCAAGGATCTTGAAATTTCTATTGATGCTTTGATGGCCAAAATTAAGGTATGCACTTTAACCCCAAATGACTTTGACTTTTACATAACGTAGTATCTTTCACTAAATTGTGTTGAGACTACATATGAAAAAATGTCTTTCTTAAAGATAACAATATTAACAAATATTGGTTCTACTTGATAGGACATGGATACTCATTGTAATATTCCTTCACTTTTTAAAAAAAATTAGCATAGCAAAAAAGGTAAAAATATAATTTGTAATATTGCTAAGAAAGATTTCCCTTAAAATAGTAACTACATATTGTATACTTCATTAATAAACTTTTACAAAATCATAATTTATAAATAATTGCTGTAAATGATTTTAATTTGTTTGGTGTTACCTACTTTTAGAAATTGACTTTTAGTTAGTTTATAGCTATTTTAATGTTATTGAAAATTTGGAGAAAAGCAAACAAAAGGTTCTTAGTCCCTTCAGCTGCAGATTAGATTTGCAACTGTTATACTATTATTTTTACAAGCATATTTTTTAATATAAACTTTTAATTTTATACTAGTTTACTTAAAAATTTGTTTACATTGTTTTGCACACTGGATCTTTCCCATTTCTTTAACCCACCCTTCTTTCCATCCTTCATAACCCCTCTCCTCCCTCCCTGGCCTCCCTACCTCCCCTTTGGATCCTCATACACATTTGACTGGTTATCTACTTCTACAATATGGTCTTACACAGTATTTGTCCTTAAGGGACTAAGTTTGTTAATTTAACAAGCATATATTTTAAAAATAATCCTTACCATCAATGAAATGTATTGATTCAGTAACTGGGTAACAAGGGTAGGTGTGTTGGAGACAGTAAAGTTGGCACAGGATAGAGCAGGTTTCAGGGCTATTGTACATAGGGTCGCCATGAGTAGCAAGTGATTCATTGGCACATAACAACAACAACAACAACAGCAACACGAATATTTACATTTTCTATCTTTAACGTCATGTTACATGATTTGTCTATACTTTCATGTTATCTTCATGAAGGCCATGACATACTATAATGGTTATGCGGGGGGTGAGGTGGTATACCACTGTGACAGAACTGACCCATAGCTGACCCTCTGGGGAGTTTTTGGAAACAGTTAATAGCACGGGAGGAGATTGCCCATCTTTCTTCTGTAGAGCAGCAGCCAGAGGTATTTTAAAAGGTAAACTTAGGAAAAATAATCAGTACTTTTGTATGGGTTTAGTAATTACTTAAATAATCTTAATCCTTTGGAGCTCTGAATATGTAATTAAAGAGGAGTAAATATTTATTAGATTAGCTAGTTGTGTCTAAACATTGGTTTTTTTTAAAAAGTTGTATTATGCTACTTTTCACAGCACAGACATTTATATTGTTTATTATTCTTACATTATTTGACTGATAGAAAATGGGACCAAATTTTGTGCAGGCATCACTTTTAAGTATCCTTTCATTCTTTTGTTTATTAAGTCCACCATGATGACAAGGGAGCAGATACAGAAAGAATACGATGCACTAGTTAAAAGCTCAGAGGAACTCCTCAGTGCATTACAGAAGAAAAAGCAGCAGGAGGAGGAAGCCGAAAGGCTGAGACGCATTCAAGAAGAGATGGAAAGAGAACGAAAAAGACGTGAAGAAGATGAGCAACGCAGAAGGAAGGAAGAGGAGGAAAGGCGGATGTACGTATGGCACTTGTCTTGTGGTGATTTGAAATAGAAGTTACCAGAATAGTAAATTGTTGATATTGATATTGGTTAACGAGCATTCTTATTTTAAAATAATATTTTAATTAAAAAATTCATATCTAAGTCTTTGAGGGTGCAGCCAGAGTGCTCTTTGGAAGCAAGAATGATGAGGCTTCGCCTCACATACTTTGTGCATGGTGCTAGGAAAGGCTATTCCTTGGAGAAGGAC